TTTGGCTGTATAGGCAGGTCCATTATGAGTCTTATAACACTGGGGGATGCCCCAGGCTGCAAAAGCCTGAAGGCAATGAGATATAACATCTTGAATCTTTTCCCCTGTATGAGCTGAGGCATAAAGAATCCCAGAGCAGGTATCAATAGAGACATGAACAAAAGAAAGGCAACCAAAACTGGGAACTTGGATAACATCCATCTGCCATATATGATTAGGCATAAGACCTTGGGGATTAACCCCAAAGCAAGGCTGGAATAAAAATGAGACACAATTTTGGCATTGCCTAATATACTAAAATATGGCCAGTCCGATTAGTATACCCCAATACCTGCTGGAAATCATTAAGAGTCTTAAACCATCCATTCTGATTTTTTTTTTTTTGTCTCCGTAAGACTTTCTCACCTTCCTGTATAAGTCCTCTGAATTTATCAGTGCCATCTGTCAGGCAAGACTTAATCAATGTCCAGATCCTGACCATTCCTGGAGGGAGGGGCTCCTGCTGTTCTGCCCTAGATAAGTCTCTGCCTAAGTGCTCCCATTGTGGCAGGATCAAAAGGCCCTCCTCCAGAAACCACAAGGCGATCCTTTGCACAGTTTGCAAAAACAACAGTACCGTTAGCAGTTTCTGCAATAAAGGCTGCATGCGTGCTGAAGAAGTTAAATTGGCCATATTTCTAACACCTCTGATCATTGCTAACCTGCAAAATTGACTGATCATCGAAATGCGAAATTGACCAATGTTAACTGCAAACTTGAATGGGCACTAGCCCACGACCCTGAATGGCGGTAAACGTGATTGTGAATGGGCAGTATATGCGATTGATCGTGAATGGGTGGTAAACGTTATTGTAAATGGGCGGTAAATGCGACCGTGAATGGGTGATAAACACGATCATAATTGAACCTGAATGAATCTGAATGGTTGCTAGACCGGAGCTTTAATGGTCACTACCCCACGAACTTAACTCATCCCTAGACCCGGGAACTTGACTTGCATGTCCCCTCTGCTATCAGTGGCTTCCTGAGCATAAAGCTCAGTTGTAAACTAATTCCCACTGTCAGCGGCTCCCTGAGCGATCTGCTCAGCTTACCTTCCTGGCGTTCACCAGCTGACTTCTATCCGATTCACAGCACCACTTATCTTCTATCTGAGTCACAGCACCAAATATCAGGGTTCCTCCCATCCCGCAGAAGAAATCACCCGACACTTGAGAGAGAGTCTCCGAGGCACTTTATTCCGATCTTCTGTTAAAAACCGTTATGAGCATTATGTCCGTTATGCTCCAGCCCCTCCGCTGCCGACCCTCCCGCTTATCTGTCAAACTTGTCCAATCAGCTTAAAGATCACCAAGGCAGACCAATCAGGGCAAAGGGCCAATCACAGGGCAGGAAATTGTCAATGCCCCCAACAACTAGTGATGCCTGTCTTAGTTGCCAACCAAAGTATAGCAGGAAGGAATGCCCAGTAAGGAACCCGCAGGTTTTCCCTTGCTCTTGTATCATGGATTTCTTTTATTTTTCATTGTCACCCAAGAAACACGAGCTCAGTGACACTGGGGGTCCCTTGTTTGGCAAACTGGAAGAGATTGAGTGCAGTTGCTCCTGGTGGCAGTGACTGTTGGAGTAAAGAATGCAAGAGTCCCAGAATTAGCTTTGGTTTCTGTGCATGAGTAACCAGCGAAAGCAAATGCGTTTGTCTTTAAAACAGAATCCCTGGTCTACTCCTGCTCCATGGGTAAACAATCTTGGGTGATAATCCCAACCTTTTCGGCACTTCTGAAATGATATTTAGCCTCTAAGTCAAGTGCATTCCCCAATATCAACGGTCAAGTGCACTACAAGGACACTTGTTTTTTTAACCCAGTTCCAGCTTTCTTATCATACCATTTTTGAACATTTCAGTATGCAATAACTGTCTTCAAAGTACAATTAACACACTTGTAGATTGTAATTCTTTAATATAAATATATGCCTGATATTAGAATTTCGGTCCCATACTTTAAAATTTTCAATTGCAATTACTTTGTCCAGACCGGGACTCAAAGAAGACTACTGTTACCCTTGGTGGATATGTTTTATAGTCTTTTTAGGACTATATGTTCCCCTTTTCCCCCAGAAATATCTTTGATAGAGAAAACTAGTCTATTGTCTTATAAATTGGAGTTTATTTCTTCATCTTCACAGGAATGGTAACCTGATTCTGACACGTTCCTACTTATGTTTAGGGTATCTTTGTACTCAAAGTTAAGAAAAAATTTTGCTGTTTTCTAGAGCAATTATATCATGAGTTTATATTTTTCCAATTCAAGTTTAGCATTACTGTATTTTTATATCAATTCAATCGCATTGTTTTTATAACACAAACTTAATCTTACAGTTTGAAACATTGATTCAGGCCCGACGCTCTGGCCTAACAGCTAAAGTCCTCACCTTGAACATGGCAGGATCCAATATGGGTGCCGGTTCTAATCCTGGCATGTCCCACTTCCCATCCAGTTCCCTGCTTGTGGCCTGGGAAAGCAGTTAAGGATGGCTCAAAACTTTGGGACCCTGCACCCTGTGGGAGACCTGGAGGAAATGCCTGGATCGTGGCTTCAGATCGGCATAGCACCAGCTGATGCACTCACTTGGGTAGTGAATCATTGGATGGAAGATCTTTCTCTCTGTCTCTCCCCCTGTTTGTATATCTGACTTTCCAATAAAAATGAAATAATTCTAAAAAAAAAAAAAGAAAACATTGATTCTTAGTAGCTTAAACATAATTATTCTTTTTATCCTTCATGTGCATGTATACATATATACCTATACACATATACACACATACTAGGTTCAGAATACTACAGTTAAAGTTACCAACAAAAGTAATATTTCAAGATCTATTTATGATTATTTTTGTCCTTAGAACATAACTTCCTAAGGATTATAATCAATTTAATGAGCATGAAACTTACTTATTTTTATTTTATTTACAAGGCAGACTGAGAGCTGCCTTCCATCTACTGATTCACTTCTCAAATGCACGTGACAGGTGGGGCAGAGGCAGGGCAAAGCCAGGAGCCAGGAATATAAGCCAGGTCTCATGGGGCTGGCAGTCCCCAGGGACCATCACCTGTCACCTCCCAGAGAAGAAGAGAGCTGGAATTAGAAGTGGAGCCAGGACTCAAACTCAGGCCCTGGATGTGGAATTCAGGCATCCAGGTGTCACACAGCTGCTGGCACTGAGAGCTCACCACAAACATTGACTTTAAATTGCTCCTGAATGAGTGTAAGCTGCCAACTCCACACACAGTCCATTCGTCCTACTTTAAATTTTGCTTTATATTGATTTAAAGTATTTACATGGAACTAAAGTCAAATGTACAAGAAAAAATATGTCCAGAAGAGCCAACTTGATCCCTGCATCTGGCTTTCCCTCCCCCATAGAAAACAGTTTACTAGGCTTTGGTTTGTCCTTTCACCTAAAACATAACTGTTAGGCAATAAATCTGTATATTTTCCCCCTCTCTTAGGTAACATATAATTCTATCTCTTCTCTCTGTAAATTTGTCTTTCATAGCAATTTAATAATCCTTTAAAAATCTTTATAAAGAACTCATCCTATAACAACATGCAGATATCCTCATTTGCAAAATGGACAGAAGGCACAGGGACAGGCATGGCTGAACTGCTGAGACACAAGTCCAGGATCAGAGTTCTCAGACCTCGGAAAATGATGGTGTATGGAGCCACGTTCAGGGCCTGGGGCTCAGGAGCTGGATGGCAGAGGAGAAAGGGCAGTCTAGGGTCAGTTGCCCAGCCTCCTGCACCTCAACCAGAACACAGCCAGAGGATTCCTCATTACAGTTTTCAACCATCACCTGCTGATAGACATTTGAGTTGCCTCCTGTCTTGTCCTGTCTCAGACAGTGCTGCCACAGACAGTGGAGTATGCGTTATCTCAGGCACACAGGGACAGGAATAGCAGAGTGTCTCCACAATCTGGTTGGAGGAACTGTTCTACAACCCTCTAAATTGTGTCACTCATCAGTCAGGCAGCAACGCAACTTCTCCCATCAGATTAGTGGAAAACAGTACTTAATTATCCCAGACACAGAGCAAGGAGGTGGGCAGCTATTGTTCACTTCCTAGACTTAGAGAACTGAGCAGGGCACAGGCACCTCCTGGGGAGGCCGGGACCGGTGAGAGAGGGAGGGAAGGAGAAGAAGGAGGTGTCTGGTGGAGCCTCAGTGCCTCCTGGGATTAGAGGGCAACAGGAGTCACCATGCTCTGGAAATGTTGTGAGGGCAGAGAATTTAACTATAATGCCTAAGCACTTGTGAATCTGCACACATGTAGTGTGGGGCTGGAGCATCATTAGCCCATTTAAGCAGAGTTTATTAATCTAACCACTGGCTTTAACTTTTGTAATAACTGCTGAGCTTGCTGTGCAAAGAACGGGACTAACGCCATGATAGGCTAAGGTAGGAGAATAGGTCTCAGTTTACAGGCATGCGGTCTGTCTTGGTATCAGTTTTACATGACTGAAATAAGAACTGCTTGTTGGAGACATGTTGTATGTGACTAAGAAGGAATAAAAATGGGAACAAAACAGGCGAGGTCCTTGTTGAGACTCCACTCTGTTGGATAAGACTTGGGCTCTAGCTCGTACTAGCAATAAAGTGTCTTTGTTTTTGCACTGTTGCCTGTGGAACTTGTCTGTCTGCAATCTAGGAATCAATCTGCACACATGCAGGAGATCTGGAAGAAGCTCTGGCCACCTGGCTTTTGTTCAGGCCAGTTCATTTGCCACTTGGGTAATGAATCAGTGGATGGAAAAATCTTTCTCTTGCCGTCTCTTCTTCTCTCTGTAAAATCTACCTTTCCAATAAAAATACATAAAACCTTACAAAAAATAAGGGACAGACATCAAACCCGGATCTCCAGGAAACGTGGACTCAATTCTGCCACGCAGTGAGGGTGGGCACCAAGCAGGCCCAGAAGATAACCACAGAGCATGTCTAGGGGTTCAGGGTGAGCTGGGTGCCTGAGAACAGCAGCCTGAAGAAAGGGAAGATCTTCCCTGGGAAGGAGGCATTGAACTTGTAGATGCAGTCGTTGGTGGCCGCATCGTAGAAGGTCACTTCCTTTTCCTCGAGATCCACGCAGACACGCACTCTCCTGGGACAGACCGGTAGTTCCTCCCACGTGTTGCTCCCAGTGAGCGCCTGGCACTCAAAGAAGCTGGTGATTTTCAGCACCCAGAAGCCGCTGGCAGGCTCCAGGGTCAGGCTGCCCTGTCGAGGGGCCTGCTCCCACGCCACGCCCAGGATACAGGCCCCTCCCCCGGGTCCTCTGCGCTCCACCTCCCAGGTGTGGCGGCCAGTGGAGAAGCCTGGAGAGCCCAGCAAGCAACAGGATGGGTAGAAGCGCTGTGGCTCCACTGTATCCTCTGAGTGCTTCCGAGGGATCATGTCCACTCTCACTGTTTTCAGATCCTGGGAAAACTTGAGGCTGGGATGGGCTGAGGCTGTGTCAAAGGTCACAGGCGCTGTGGGGAAAGGAGGGGAAAGAGACACAGGCATGGGTCAAGTCCCCACAAAAGAAGATTTTCTCTATTTTCTCTTGCCAGTCGCATCCATGAGGACGGGTTCTGTGATCTGTGATCTGGCAGGCCTTAACTTTTGAGTGGACTTTCACTCTGGAGGGGAGTGGACACAGCCGCAGGGACCTCATGTGTCCACTAGAGTGCACCACAGCCCAGGCAGCGGCTATGAGGCTGGTGTGATTGTGGGTTCTCCAAAGTCCTTCCCTTCTGGGAGTCATAGCCACCCCCGCTGCCACCCTGACATCCAATCCCAGGACCCTAGACCACTCCTAGCTTCCCTCCAATCGGTCCCCCGATAGCCCCCAGCCACTCACTCAGCTTCCGCTGTAGTCCTACAGAGCTCAAAGGGCCTGTGAAGCTTGAGGAGTCTGAGGTTTTGGCGTCTGTTGCATTTCCAAGAGCTCCATCTTGCCGCAGGCTCAATTCTAAACTGGCATCTGTTTTCTCTAATTTAGCCTCCCCCAATCGTAGTTGGACTAGAGCTGGGGGGTGGAGAGTTGAAGATCCCAGGTTGGCTGTTGGGTCACCTTTGGCAGAGAAGGAAAGAAGAGCCAGCTTGGTAGGAGCAAGAGGGCAGGAATCCCCACTGCCAGCACACAAACTCAAGGCACTCACTCTGGAGCTACCAGATCTTACAACTAGTGGAAGGTGGGCAGGGACAGAGGGAGACTTGTCCTTCTCCAACGAAAAGCACACTTCACGTCTGCCTACACCACTCCTGGTATCTGACACCTCTTCAATGCCTGTGGGACCACAGTGTCCCCTTCTCCACCAACCTCTCTCTGCCTCTCACCCCCCCCTTTTCTGTTCTTTCCCTTTTCTCTCCACCTCAGGTTGGAACTGAGAACAGTCATTGGTCCCAGCAGCTGTGGTGAGGGTTAGGACACACATCCGCAGTTCTCTCTGCAGGCTGTGTCCACTCTGGAACACGAACCAGCTCTGTATCTTGCTCCAACACCATAGGCAGTCAGTCTCCTTTGTTCAAGACCAGACTGCTACCTGGGGACACTGCCTCAGGCTGTGAGCCTCTTTGTACATTAGGATTATTTTTCTCAGGAAGACATGAAAGGAGTTAGGAAGGAAAAGCTAATTTTCATCCTTAAACTCAGAGGCTGTGAGCTACTCAAGCAATGTCTGCTTACAATGAGCATCAGGAATAAAGCAGCCAGTGATTCCCAGGGGGCAACACTGCTGCTCCCAACAGAAATGTGGAAATTTTCAGTTGGGCTCTGACTTAAATAGCCTTCAGGCCTGTGCCACTGGGGCCTATGGCTGGGAACACTGAGTTCCATTGTAGGTAAAGAGCCCAGTCATTGTCTCTCAAAGGAGACCTTGCCCAGGGACATGCTGATTGCCCAGCAGGGCTGCTAATGCAGCAGAGAAGGATTGGGTCCAGTTCATCTAGATCCATTTCTTGTCTTCCCTGGTTCTAAGCTGGGAAGACATCAATTGATGAACTTTGATTACTTTGGAATACTTCTGAGTGGCTGTGAGTTTCCTGGGTCTAAAATATAAGATGTCCCCCTAAGTCTGTTCTCCCTTTGTGGAATACTTCTTCCCTCTTCCCCTTTTGGTGTCTCAACTCCCCCAGTGGCAGGAAGCAGCCCTGCACCCCAACTTACCACTCTGCCTGCAGGTTGTACTCTTGTCTTGGAAGAATTTGCCTTCTTCTTTCTTTGGTTTTCTTCTTTTTCTCTTCTTTTTTTTTTTGCCTTGATATTTCTTCCTGTCATCCTGGAGCTGGTCTTGGGGGCAGAGAACAGAAGGCATCAGAGGCCAGCAAAGCTGATCAAGGAACCCAGGGTTGCACCACAAGGCCCTGATGTGAAACCCTGGGAGCAGTGAACTGGAGTTGTCTCTCTCATTCTCAGTACATGTGAGAATTACACCTTTACTGCCCTGCTTCCCTGATGTGGACATGCAGCCCAGCAGTGTCCAGTTTACATCTGATGTGATCGGGAAACAGGAGCCACTCATTCTGGGGAACTTAAAAATTTTGGGGACCGGCATGTGGTATATCAGGCTAAGCTGCTGCAGGGGCATCCCATCTGGACACAAATTCAATCCCAGCTGCTCCACTTCTGATCCACTCCTGTTTATGGCCTGGGAAAGTAGCAAAAGATGGTCGATTGCTTCGGGCCCCTGAGCCCATGTGGGAGACCCAAAAGAAGCTCCTGTTTCCTGCCTTTACACCAACCCAGTTCTAGCTGGTTGCCATTTGGGGAGTGAACCCACAGATGAATGATCTCTCTCTCTTTGCCTCTCCTTCTCTCTCTGTAATTCTGTTTTAAAAATAAATAAATAAAAAACCTTTTTACAAAGTCACAAAACAATGATATTATAAGATAAAATCTGGGTTAGCTTTGCTTGCAGTGTTTATCATTCTACTTGGGACACTTGATGCCCAGCTGTGTTTCCAATTCCAGCTTCCTGCTAAAGGGCACCCTGGGAGGTTCAGGTGATGGTGCAAATGCTTAAATCCCTCCCACCTACATGGGAGACTAAGATTAAGTTCTTTTCTTTTGGCTTTTCTGGCCCAGCCCTAGATGTTGTAGAATTTAAGGAAGTGAATTAGTAGATGGAACATTGCTGTTTCATTTTCTCTGATTCTATGCTTTTAAAACAATAATGTTTTAATTTTAGGTTTATTTATTTTTATTGGAAAGGCAGATTCAGAGAGAGGAGCAAACATGGAGAAAAAGATTTTCTGGTGAACCACTGGTTCACATCACAAAAGGCTGTAATAATCTGGAGCTGAGCTGATTAGAAGCCTGGAGCTAGGAGCTTCTTCTTGGTCTCCCACATGAGTACAGGGTTCCAAGGCTTTGGGTCATCCTTTGCTGCCTTCCCAGGCCATAAGCAATGAGCTGGATGGAAAGTGGAGCAGCCGGTACACAAGACAATGCCCATATGGGATTCCAGCTCTTGTCATGTTAGGATTTAGCCACTGGGCCATTGCACCAGACCCATGCCTCATATAATTTTAGATTTTGCAGATTTGGAGCCATTGTTGTTGCACAGCAAGTAAAGCTGAAACATGTGATGTCAATATGCTCCATTGGGTGTTTGCTTCTGCCACTCCACTTTCAATCCAATGCCTTGCAAAAGGCCTGGGAAGGCAGCAGAAGATGGGCCCAAGTGTTTGGACCCTGCCATCCTTCTGGGAGACCCATGTGGAGTTCATAGCTTGTGGCTTCAGCCTGTCACAATCCTGAGTGTCATAGTCATTTGGTGAATGAAGCAGCACATGGGGTCTTTCTCTCTCTCATTCTTTCTCTCTCTCTCATTCTTTCTCTGCTTCTCCTATCCTCTCTGATGCTCTGACTTTCAAAATAATCAATCAATCATTTAAATAATCAATAAATCATTAAAAACAGCAATAACAAAAGGAAGGAAATGGAGGTTCTGGCTAACTGAGGAGGGGGATTTGGTTCTGGGAGCTTTGCCCTCACCTTCCTTTTGGATTTAGTGCATGAGACATTTAGGGAAGGGCAGGCTCTTTACTGGACCTAGGAAGAAGGCTCGATTCAGCTACCTTTACTCTTGACTGAGACACATGTTGCCTTCACAGTCAAGGGCATCCTTATGCATACCAACCCTTCTTCCTATCTACAAACACAGTGAAGGACGTCTCTACCAATAGCAACCCTTCTTCCCGGTTGCAAGAATAGAGTATTTCTATTTATTTATTTATTTATTTATTTTTATTGCAAGGTCAGATATATAGAGAGAGTAGGAGAGTCAGAAAGGAATATCTTTCACCTGATGATTCATTCCCCAAGTGACCGCAACAGCAGGAGCTGCATAGATTCAAAGACAGTAGCTCTTCAGGGTCTCCCACATGGATGAAAAGTCCTAAGGCTTTGGGTCATCTTTGCTTTCCCAGATTGCAAAAAAGGAACTGGATGGGAAATGGGGCTGCCAGGATTAAAACTCATGTCCATATGCGATCCCTGCAAATTCAAGTCGAGGAATTAAGCTACTAGACCACCATGATGGGCCCATGCAAACCTAGAGTACTTCTTAATGACTATGCGATTCAATATGCAAAGTTCAATCCTTGCCTTTCTAATCTGGCTTATCTATTTTCCTGCATAGGTGGAATCGGCAAAACATCATCCACCTTGAATGTATTTCTGTAGTCAGAAATAGCAGCATGCATCAGAGAAACAAACACGGTCCAGAGATCACAGAGTCCAAGAGCCCTGGGGAGGCAGAATTATGCCTTTTTGGCCCATGAACACTGACCAAGGCCAGAGGGCAATGCAAAAATCAGTGAGGGGCTATTATAGACAATTACCATGTGGAACAGACCATGGGAGAAATGCCTGAGGGAGGCATGGCAATGCTTGGAGATCCCAGTCAGAGGAAGGCTGCCATGATGGCCACTGACAGGAGAGAATCCTCCAGGGAGAACAGAGGCCTCCTTGGCCTCTTCCTTACCTTCCAGGTTCCTCAGGTTCTTGATAATGGAGTCATGACTGGACTTTGCTTTGTCAAGTTGTTTCTCCAGGTCCAGAGGAAGTAGAGTTATGCTGTGAAACTGAAAATGAATCTCTCTACTCCAAGGATGACAAGGTGGAACTTGGTGGGGAGGTGAGGGGATAGACTGGCCCTTTGGATTCAGCTTGTGGGGACAGAGTCATGGCAGTGGGAGTGGGCATCAAGGGTTGGTGAGCCTTGAGTCACGACGTGGGCATTAAGGAAATGGGGCTGGAGTGAGAAGCTGCTCAAGGAGACTTGGACATGAAGGGGAAAGGAGAAAAGCAGTGGGGCAGGGAGAGGGGTCCAGGAGTCCTCCTGCTGAGCAGGGGGCCTGCAGGAGGCCCTGAGAGATGGGGAGAACAGCTCAGGCCTCTCACAACCAACTCGTTTTCTCAGCTCAGACCTTTCCCCATATGGCCTAAACCTCTGACTGCAAAATCCCAGAGTGTGGGTGTTGGTGAGTGGGAGGTATAGATGGTATCAGAAGCTGAGTTGAGAACAGAACCTAGCAATGAAGCTAGGGCAATGCATATGTGGGATGGCCATCATACCTGTGCAAGGTGCCTTTGATGTCCTGGAAGAGAAAGACAAGCAGCTTGGTCTTAGCACTTGGCTGACCCATGGGACCAAGGAGCATCCAAAGAAGCAAGTGGGTGTGGGCAGAGCTGGTGGGGTGAGAACATCTCTGAGATTCTTCCCCCCACATTTCCTGTTCTCACTCACCAGGAGGACTCCTCCAAGTGTTGATAGGCCACTACATGGAGACATGGTTAGATATCAAGGGGAACCACTGATGAGCAGAGAGAGTGACATTTTACAGATGAATTTTGTCTGATACTTATCTTTGCAAGGGAACCCTACTCCTTCGGACAGGAGATAGATCGGAGTGAGTTTGCATGAACTTTCTTGAAAGAAAGGAATGGACACTACAACCAGCACAATGGTTCAAAAACCCAGAAGGAGCTCCTGGCTTTTGTGTGGCACAGTCTAGGCCATTGTGACCATTTGGGGAATGATCCAGTAACAGCAGATCTGTGTGTGTGTGTGTGTGTGTGTGTGTGTGTGTGTGTGTGTGTGTGTGTGTGTCTTTCCCTCTCTGTGTAACTCTGCCTTTCAAATAAATGCATATTATTTTTAAAAAAGAGAAAATTTTATTTTGTGGCAAACATTTTGAAGTCTGTTTTCTAATTTCTTCACCACATGGATTCCTTTTAAAAGTTTTTTTTTTTTTAAGTTGGAAAGGCAAATTTACAGAGAGAAGAGACAAAGATCTTCTATCCATTGGTTTGCTCCCCATGTGCCCATAAGAATTGGAGCTGAGGCAATCCAAAACCAGAAACCTCTTCTGCATCTCCCATGTAGATGCAGGGTCCCAAGGCTTAAACCTATCCTCTGCTGCTATCCCAGCCATGTTAGCAAGGTGATGGACAAGAATTGAATCAGCCAGAATTCCCATCAGTGCTCATACAGGATGTTGGCACTCCAGGTAGCATCTTAACTCACTAAGCCACAGCGCCAGTCCCACAACAGTTTTAAATATAATGTTCATCTATCTGAAAGGCAGAGAGACAGATACAATGGAGAGATTCTTCATCTGCCAGTTTGCTCCCCAATCACTCACACAGTCAGGACTGAGTAGGTAGCAGTCAGGAGCCTGGAACACAGCCCAGGTCTCCCAGACAGATTGCTAGGATCTCAGGGCTTGCCCCATCACCTGCTTCCTTGCAGGGCCCCATATTAGCAGAAAGCTGGGTGGGAAATAGAGGTAGGGCTTCAACCAGGCACAGCCACAGTGAAGATGAGTGCCGCAAGCTGCACATTAACCAATGTTCCGAACACCTGTCCTTTAATGTGCTGAAGCTTTTTAAATGTGGCTTGCAATATATTTTTAATTATACATGTGACTCATACTACATTTCCAAATTATATTGGCAGTAATTCACATTTTAAGATTTATTTACTTTTATTGCAAAGTCGGGTAAACAGAGACGAGGAGAGACAGAGAGGAAGATCTTCCATCCATTGATTTACTCCCCAAGTGACCATAATGGCCAGAGCTGTGCTGTTCTGAAGCCAGGAGCCAGGAACTTCCTCCAGGTTTCCCATGCAGGTGCAGAGTCCCAAGGCTTTGGGCCGTCCTTGACTGCTTTCCCAGGCCACAAGCAGGGAGCTGGGTGGGAGCAGGACTGCCAGGATTAGAACTGGCACCAATATGGGATCCCGGACCATTCAACGCGAGACTTTAGCCACTAGGCAACCACTCTGAGCCCCATATTGTAGTTCTAAATTACATATGTGTTTCACATATTTCTAAATCACACATGCATTGATGTTCTAAATGACACGTTAACACTTTGACTCTCTGGATGGTACTGCTCTAGAGGCAGGATCACTGGCACAAACTTGGGGATTCTGACAGGTTCTGGGTACTAGGTCAGACACCAGGGCTGGGCTCTGCCTTATGGGAATTCTGCCCCCGAGGGACTCACCTGTAGCAGCTCTCTGGGTGGCATCTGCTGCATGACTTTCACGGAATCCTTGAGCAAGCTGAGCTGTGCCTGGATGGCAGCATTGTAGCGTTCACACTCCTTGGTGCCCTTCTGAGCCAGCTGCTTAATGTTGGACAGGAAGAAGTTTTTGTTCTCCTCTAGTATCTGTTGCAGGTGCTTGAATTCTGTGTGTATCTTTTGCTTCTCAAACTCCACCTGGGCCTGGAGGTGAGATACAGGGACACAGAGAGGAAAGATGACCTCAAGTTTCCTTCCACCCATGCTGTTTAATTTTAATTTTTTTTTTTAATAATCTTAGTTGATTAGGGTACAAAGGGTCAAGGGCTACAGTGTGAAAGTGGGTAATACCATTGTTTCCATGCTAATATTATCATTTTTCCCTGTATTTGGGGTTGGGGGAGAAACAAAGGGAAAAGCCCCACCCAACCTCCTACCCATCTCCTATCCCCAACAGGAGGCGTGCTCCAAGGGTCCTACTCAAACAGTTTTGATAGTTCATCAGTTCTGGATTGCTGCCAATCTCACAGTTCCAATCACAATGAAACCTATTCAGAGTCCACTGGCTTTCAGCCTCTTGATGGTTGGGGTTCCAAGATCAGCAGTTCAGTTGGAGGGATCTCCAAAGAAACTTCATCTGAGATGATCCCAGATCTGATTCTTGAGCGAGTTTGCTAGTACAGACTGCAACACCGTCCTTCACACCAATCAGCTTATGCACATGCTGGTCGTTGCGATTGCTGGGTCCACTCTGTCTCCTGCCCTGTCTTCCTTGTGAACCAACGGGTGTTGTAGTCCAGCTCAATCCTACTCACTTCATACTTGACCCTTACGCAAACCAGTTGGAGCTGCAGCCTAGTTGGGGTGACTCCCCATGGCCTCCACCAGTTCTGCCCCCTACCCTGGTTCTCATGCTTGCCAGTATGTATCACAGGCTTGTTCAGTCTGTCCCACATCCCAGTTAGATTTTGCACATGTCAATGCACATTGAAGCCTAGTTCAACCCAACCAACCTATTATCCAGCCCATACACCTACTGGCAGGTGCCTTTCTGTCTAGCCACCCCTGCCTCTATCCTGGTTTTCGTGCTGTCCAGTGAGGGTGATAAACCAGTGGGAGGTGCCCACTATTTCCCTTCTAGACCACACCCACTCCCAGATTATGCAGTCTCCAGGTGGTTCTGGCATTTGACTTGACAGAATTAGCTCCCAGTGCCAGCCTCTGCCAGCTAATGCTGTGGCTAAGCCCAACCAACCCTCACCCACTCTAATTTTTGCTTGCACCAGTTGGAACAGTCAGCCCACCATGACCCTGCCTTTACTAGCTCACATGAGGCCCACAGGTGCTATAGCCCTGCTTCCTCTGAACTGCCCCCTTCCCAACTCATGCACTTTCCAATGAAAGTAGTTTCATTTTAATTTTTGTATTTAATTATACTGAGTACCAAGGTAGAATAAGATACAGACTTGAGAAGAGGTGAGGATAACAATTTTTTTTCACTTAAATGGCTTATTTATTAGAGAGAGAGAGAGAATTTTCTATTTGCTGAATCACTCCCGAAAGCCAAAATAGCCAGAGTTGTGCTAGGCAGAAACCAGCAGGCAGGAACTCCAGCAAATCTCGCACACAGGTGCAGGATCCCAAGCACTTGTGCTGCCTTCTGCTGCTTTCCCAGATGCCTTAGCAGGCACTTTGATTGAAATAGAGCAGCTGTAACTGAATTAGTACTCAAATGGAATAGTGTCTTGAAGGAAGCAGATTAACCACTGCACCATAGTAAAGGCTCTGAAAACACACATTTAAAAACATTTCCCATGTCAGTGTTGTGATGCAGCCCATTAATTTTTTTTTTTTTGTTTTGCAATGGAAGCATCTGATATTCAAGTCCTGGTTCAATTACAGGCTGTTCTGCTCTGATCCTGTTCCTGCTAATGTCCCTGGGAAGACAACAGGAAAGCGTCCAAACACTGGGCTCCTGCCCCCTGCATGGGAGACCTGCATGAAGCTCAGAGCTCCTGGCTTCTGCCTGGACCAGCTCCTGGTCACTGAAACTATTGGAAAGTGAACCACTGAGTGAAAAATCTCTCCTCTCACTGTCACTCTTCCTCTCAAATCTTTATTATTATTTTTGTTTTTAAATAATAAAACCACTTCTTTTATGTTCTGTGCCACACTGTGCCCTCATTATGTCATCATTTTTGCTTTTGAGAATTTCCCTAAAACTCGTATTTCTAGAAATTTTTTTCAGTTTTAATGTGCTTTCATGTAGTTTTTTTTTTCTCTTTGACACACCAAAACCAAACCAACACAAAGGGGAGTTTTTCCTTACCATGAAGTTGTTGATCTTCTCTTCTCCTTGAGCCTTTTGCCTTAAGATTTCCACATGCAACTGGATCTGCTCCTGTGGAGAGAGGGACCTTCAGACAAGGCTCTGCCTGGATTACTCCTGGCCACATAAAAGCCTCCCAGGCTCTCCAGAGCACACATGAGAGGCTCCAGGGAGTTCTGGGTCTAAGTGTTAATCCACATTGCTTCCTCGAGCTGGGGAGAAGGGAGAAACCAGAACCTACATGACCTAAAAGAGAAGAGGGTTGCTATAATCTATTATGAGTAATGTTTGGATGGTGCTTCAAGACTGTCAAACAACTCCCAGAGACCTTCCCTCACTTGTTCTACCAACAGTTTTCAGAGATATGTTTGGGGTCTGCTGCTAATGCTATTGGCCTGGGAAACCAGTGAAGAATGGGTTCCTTTACCTATATGGGGACCAGGAAAAGCTTTTGGCTGCTAGCTTGGAACAGGTAAGCTCCAGCTAGTTCAGCAAATTGAGGTGAAGATGGAAATACCCCTCTCTCTGATTTTCTTTCTCTTTCTTTCTAACTATGCCTTTCAAATAGATAAACCTTTAAAAAAAAAAAAAGTAAGTTTTATTTGAAAGGTGAGGCATTGAGGCTCAGAGAAACCCAGATATTTCTTGGAATTTACACAGTCAATTCAAAGTCTAAATTTGAGTCCACATCTCTATTTTTAAAAAATTTATATATTTTTATTTTATTTTGAATATTGCTTTCATAGTTGAGACAGATGCATACTTATGCGTATCTCCAATTAGGGTGGTCAAGGTGTAGAAGAAGGTCAAGGTGAGTGGGACAAACATTTTACTTATTTTTTTTTTTTTACTCCTGTATCTACTGGGGGCAGTTAGCGGGGGAAGGAAAGATGCTGATTGTTGATGTCATCTTGCATCTGTCAGGATGACATCAGAGACCCCAACATGAAGTCCAGATCTTCTGAACCAAATTTCCATCTTTTCTTTTCTTACATTTTATTATTAGTATTATTGGTTTAGTCTTCTGTTGTTATTTTACTGGGATGTTTTTCACATTTGCCTTTGTTTTGTTTGGTGCTATTCCTGTTCTCTGTTAAGAGAAAATCTTGAAGTATCATTTGTAGGGCAGGTTTGGAAGAGGTAAATTCTGTTAACATTTTTTTTTTTTTTACTGTGGAAGATTTTTATTTCATTTTGAAAGACAAAGGAAAGCTTTGCTGGATATGTTATCCTAGGCAGACAATTTTTTTTTTTTTCATTTTGAATCTGGAATATGTCATTCTAGTCTCTTCTGGCCTGCAGAGTTTCCTGTGAGATCTCCTGTGAGTTTAATTGGTATTCCTTTTTTTTTCACGTACACATTTAAGGATGTTTTCCTTATGTTTGATTGGAGAGAGCTTGATTATCATGTGTCGTCTTAAAGATCACTTTTGATCAAGCCTGTTGGGAGTTCTGTGCCCCTCCTGCATCTTGTTTCCCAATTCTTTCTCCAGATTAGGGAAATTGTCCCTTATTATTTCATTAAATACATTTTAAAACTCAGCTTCTCTTTCTGCACCTTCTGGGATTCCCATACCTCTTATATTTGGCCTCTTAATAGTGTCTTCCAATTCTTGAATGCTCTTTTTTGGCCTGATCCAGCTCTGCTTCCAGCTTTTTCTTTGCTTCCCCCTGATGACAGGAATTATCTTTCATTCTGAGATTCTTCCTTTTGTTTGCTTTGTTCTACTTTGGAGACTCTCCACAGTACTTTTAATTTGCTCTACTCTGTTCTTGATTTCTGATATACCAGCCTTGATTTGCTTTATTGCTTCCTTAAATTCTTTGAACACTTGCATGAGCTTCTCATTTTTTATCAAAAGCTTTAAAATGAGTCTTATGAATTCTGTATCCCCTGTTTTTCTCGATGTCTTGTCATAACCTGTTGCATATTAGGTCTGGTTGCAACACGGGCCTATTTTGACCCATATTCTGCCACAGTTGGTATTAGTTTTTGTGGGACCAGTGCAATCCATGGAACTCAGTGCGTTCTCATGAGCTCAGCACATGCACAGTTCACTGTTGTCCCCTGCAGTCCTAAAGCTATTGCCACAGTGTGCAAAATGGCACCTGAGGTACCATTACTGAGTTCTTGATCTGCTGGCTGTCAGATATGATGGCTACCATTCCTGCCTAGGGTAGAACCTGGTTGCTGGTGGAGTTTCGGCTCCTGGTGGAGTTCAGATCGCCTTTCGCTGAATGTCACTGGAGTATCATTCTCTGCAACACCACACCATTGTGTCTGTTCATTCCTATATCCTGAAATATATCCTCTCTGCTTCATCCTAATGATATGTTTTCCTGTCCATTTAAACGTGTTCTTACCCTATTCTGCCATCTTGATTCTCCGTTTGAACCAAATTTCTGTGTTTTGGGCCTGTGCATTGATCGAGGCTAATCTTTTCCCTTCAAGTGCCAACATCCCACATGACTGCTGGTTCTTGTCCTACTGCTCCATTTCTCATCCATTTCTCTGCTTATTTCCTGGAAAGAAAAGGAGGATGGCCCAAGTTCTGGGGGCCCTATACCCATGTGGGAGACCTGGAAGAGACTTCTGGCTCCTAGCTTAGGATCACCTCAGCTTTAGCAATTCCAGGCTTTAGGGGAGTGAAGCAGTGGATGGATGATCTTTATCTCCTTCTCACTGCAAATCTACCTTTCAAATAAAAATGAATATTTCTTTTTAAGATTTATTTATTTTTATTGAAAATGTACATAACAGAGAAAAGGAGATACAGAGAGAAAGATCTTCCATTTGCTGGTTCACTTCCCAAGCAGCCACAATGGCTGAGGCTGAACCCATCCAAGCCAGGATTTTCTTTTGAAATGCCCACATGGGTTTAGGGTCCCAAGGTTTTGGGATGCCCACAACAGCTTTCCCAGACCACAGGGAGGTAACTAGATGGGAAATAGAGCAGCTGGGATTAGAACCAGGGCCCATATAGGATCCTGGTGTGTGCAAGGCAAGAACTTTGGCCACTAAACTAGTGCACTAGCCCTTGTGTTTTTTAAACCTATGTGGGTCTAATATGATGGTCTAATTGGTTAATACTCCTTGCGATTGGGAGAATCAAGGTGGTAGAATAGGGTAAGTACATGTTTACACAGACAGAGAAACATTACCTATTGTGAAGCAAAGAGCACACATTCCAGGAAAAAGGAGAGGACAGAACAATAGCAGGGGGGTACCTGGAGACTGACAGACACAGGAAAGCAGTGCATACAATGGTCTAGGATTGTAGTGACTGATACCCCAGCGGCATAAAGTGAACGGCAATCTGAACTCCACCGGCAGCCAGAACTCCACTAGCAATAATGTGGGAAGGACGTTCACTAGGAGCTCAGGAGGTGAATCCAGACAAAGAACTGCCTGTTCTGCTGGTCTGTTTTATTTGACCAGGAATAGACAGAATGGCAGGTCTCAGATAAGTGGTATGGGAACAAGATGGATTTCACAACCCAGTCCACCTCCTAGAGCTGAATTAGGTGCCATTTTGTTTAAGGAGGCAAAGGCTATGGGGCAGGACTGGGCGTGCTGAGCTGGGAGTGACCTCATTTCTGACTCAGTGAATGCAGCAATGTAGCATCCTACAGGTGCCAACCAAAACAGTTCCGGGTAGCCCTCTGACCTGATGGCCAGCAGATCAAGAATACAGTGGAGCAAATTAAAAGTACAAGAAAGAGTCTCCAAAATAGAATGAAGGAGGCAGAAGAAAGGCATAACAGATGCCTTGTTGTAGAGGATGGCAAAGGAGTGAAGACTGCAGGGACAACAGTGAACTGCGCATGTGCTCAACTCAGTGAGAACTCACTAAGATCAGTGCATTGCACTGGTCCTGCAGGAAAATAACCGACTGTAGCACCATATGGGCCAAAATAGGTCTGTGTGAAACCCAGACCTAATGTCCAATTTGTCCTGGCAAGATCACCAACAACAACAACCTAGCTATATTGGAACACCTGGTGTCTCCCTAATCCTGGGACCTGCTCCAACCAGAAGTGGGAGAAAAGTTGTACAGACAACAGTGCAGCTCAGCATGGTATCATATGAGGTTGAGACTGGTGAGCCAGGAGCTGGGGCTAAGGAGACCATGGTGGAAATCTAACATAAGAACCCAGACCTGGAACTCACTGGAAGGAGTGGCACAAGTGGCTACAAGCAAAAAGTTATGTACCAACTGCAATAAGTAAAATCGCATTGTAGACCTGTGGGTGACACAGCTTAGAAACCTGTCCCAAGCAGAAGAATCTGATAACCTGAAGTACAAGGACCAAGTGCAAAAGAAGAGACAAAAGCACAATGAGTATTACTGAAGACTCCCCTGCCAAGGAGCAAAAGCTTTTGTCATACTCAGAGTTAACTGGAAGACATTGACAAAATTGGGGATACAGAATTCAAGACATTAGATATAAAACTTCTCATCAACAACGAGAAACAAGTAAAGCAGGCATTCAAGGAATTCAAGGAATATATAACACTGGAAATGAATCAAATGAAAGCCAATAAATCAGAATTGAAGAATACAGTGGAGCAACTTAAAAGTACAATGAAGAGTCTCCAAAATAGAATGAAGGAGGCAGAAGAAAGAATCTCACAATTAGAAGATATTTCCGGTCACCATGGGTAAACAAAGAAAAAGCTGGAAGCAGAGCTGGATCAGGCCAAAAAAGTATTCCAGAATTGAAACACACTATTAAGAGGCCAAATATAAGAGTTATGGGAGTCCTAGAAGCTGCAGAAGAAGCAGCTTGGTTTAAATATGTATTTGATGAAATAATAAGGGACAATTTCCCTAATCTGGAGAAAGAATTGGGATACAACATCTAGGAGGGGTACAGAACTCCCAAGAGAGTTGACCAAAAGCAATTTTCGCTACAGCACATGATTGTCAAGCTCTCTTCAATTGAATATAAGGAAAAGATGTTTAAATGTGTACCTGAAAAAAAATCAATTGACATATAAAGGAATGCCAATTAAACTCACAGGAGACCTATCACAGGAAACTCTACAGGCAAGAAGAGACTAGAATGACATATTCCAGATTCTAAAAGCAAAAATTGTCGCCCCATGATAACATACCCTGCAAAGCTTTCCTTTGTCTTTGAAAATGAAATAAAATTCTTCCACAGTAAAGAAAAGTTCAAAGAATTTGCCTCTTCCAAACCTGCCCTACAAATGATACTACAAGATGTTCTCTTGACAGAGAAGAGAAATAATGCCCACCAAAACCTAAAGCCAATACAAAGAACATCCCAGTCAAATGACAACAGAAGACTAAACCAATGAACAACCCATTCCTTAAATGACAGGACCAAAGTATCACCTATTTGTATTAACCCAGAATGTAAACAGTTTAAACTCTTTAACCAAGCTTCACAGACTAGTACACTGTATTATAAAATAAAACCCATCTATTTCTTGCCTACAGGAAATACATTTCACCAGTAAAGATCAGTAGGAACTGTATCTCATATATTTTGATGTTTCGGTAGGTTTGATCTCTTCCAAACACTTTCTTCTGATTAAATTCTTTAATGATTTATAGACCCTACAGTAGCATCATTTTCTTCAAGAAGTTTCTAGATTTTCATTTCTTTAGCAACATGTTAGTCATTCAGTAGCATGTTATTTAACTTTATGGTGTTAATTTTTTTTCTCTTCCTGATATTGATTTTGTTTTGTGGCTTTTCATTTAAGGGGATGTGTAGTAACTGCGTAATGGAGACTATCATATCCAGTTCTGAGGATACAATGCAGTATGCATCTCTACTTCCATTGTCCATGCCCACAATGTTGGACATAAAACTGCGTATGGAGAATTATACTATACTATATTATACTATACTATACTATACTATACTATACTATACTATACTAATGACATAAGGGATCTCAGTGTGTGCGATGGGGATTGGGGAAGGGATAAGGTAAATTAGGGCCTATGGAACTGTACCATAAAATGATAATAATAAAAGAAAGTAAAAAAAAATCTTCTTCCTTGCAAGTACCAGGATGCCATCTGGGCACCATTTTGTAACATGGCTACCTCATATCCCATTAAACTCCCTGCTTGTGGCCTGGGAATGTGGCAGGGAACAGTGCAAAGACTTGAGACCCTAAACCTATGTGGGACATCCATAGGAAGCTCCTTGCACCTGGCTTCAGATTGGCTCAGTTAAGACTAGTGCAGGATTTGGGCATTAAACCAATCGATGAAAGATCTTTTTCTCTCTCAATTGCTTCTTTCTGTAAATCTATATTTTCAATAAAAATAAATAATTTCATTTTTAAAAATTAGCCTTTTCCATCCTCTGTTATTTCTGCTTTGCAAGAAAAACAGTTCCTCATACTCAGAACCATGAGCTCATATGTCTGGCTGAGTGGCACCTTCAGGAGCCATGGAGGACAAATCCACAGGAAGGAGATAATAGCTTGTAGATCTCCATTGAACTCCCATCAACAAAGAGAAGCCCCAGTGCCTACCTGATAATGCGGGTCAGCTTCTTCTACCAGACTGGTTTTATGTAATTTGTGATCCATGGAGTCATGACACATCATACAAAGGAGTTCACCATCCTCCTCACAGAAGTAGTGCAACTTCTCCCCATGCTTTGGACACCTCAGTTGTTCCTCTTCCTGCTGCATCTCAGAGAGATCCGTAGCTCGAATTCTCTCCACCAGATTCCCCAGTTGCCAGTTGGATATAAATGTGTCCTTTCTCATGAAACTTTTGCAGAGTGGACATTGGATGAGATCCTCAGAAACTTCCTTACACTGAGTGATGCAATCATGGCAGAAGTTGTGCCCACATTTGATGATGACAGGGTCCTGCAGAATGTCCAGGCAGATGGGGCAGATCAGTTCCTTCTGCAGGTCAGTGGAAAACTGTTGGCTGGCCATGGCAGAGCATCCAGGCTGACCCACATCTACAGGAATCCTGGAAGTAGCCAGTGGTCACTGCTGCGGAAACGGAAAACGGAAGACAGCAGGCAGAAGTCAAAGAGTTTGTCAATCAGCCATGGGAGCAAGGTGGGAGGAAAAGAAGAGCAAGAATAAACTGATCCAAAAGAGTTAGGATTTCAATACAGTGAGCATTTTGAAAAGGGAAATCAGAAGGACAATCCTCTTCTTTCACCACTTGGGAACAAATGGCCACTGAGAAACTACATTTGCTGATTACTCAGAGATTAAGTGGTATTGAACCTTGGACTGGTTGTGTATAAAGCACATGATTGGATCAGAAAGGGCAGGGCACTAAAACCAAGTCGTAAAGATTTCCCAGCAGCACTAGAAAGGGAGTGGAAGGCTTGGCATGCATCTCCGGCAAGGTCACAGGCAGGTCGAGAGAGAGAGCCAAGTCGAGAGAGAGAGACAGACAAACAGACAGACAGACAGACTTGCAAAGGAGGAGGAGGGAAATTAGATCTACTGCAGGTGATGTGGCTCCTCCCTTTGAAGAGTGTTGTGAAAATGCAGAAGATACAATCCCTGTCTGAAAACATTTCCTCTCTTGAGGGATTCCCAGGGAAGTGGAAGACACAGGAACTTTCTCTTTTTTTGTTTTAATTTTTTTAAAGATTTATTTTCTTTATTTTCTTGGTTTAAGATTCATTTTGTTTAACTTCTTGGTTTAGTAATTATTTTCTTTAACCTCTTGGAGACAGGAACAGACAGAGAGTGAGAGAGGCTAAGGGAGAAGGAGATCTTCCTCTGCTGGTTCACCCCCTTGATGACCATACAGTCAGTGCAGCCAGTCCAATACCAGGAGCTTCCTCTGAGTCTCCTATGTAGGTGCACAGGCACAAACACCTGTGCCATCCTCCACCAACCTCCCATGCACATCAGCAGGGAGCTGGATTGGGAAGTGTAGCACCTGGGACACAAACTGGTGTCCACGTGGGTTGCTAGTGCTGCAGGCAGAGGCTTAACTTGTTACTCCACCATCCTGATCCCAGGGACTTTCTTTCTGAAGATCATTCTATTTTCTACATTGTTCTTGATCCTGGTGGAGCTCTTCCTGACGCTCACCAGCTGCTTTCTCTGTGTGTATGCAATGATCATTATCTGGTACTTATCTTCGGTCAAACAAGTGTGGTGAATGATTTTATGATCACAGACAGGGCATACATTCCACCAGGCTTTCCTTCTTTTTCCTGGCTTAATTGTTAACACTATCCCCTTCCTTTATCAAAGTATGCCCTTTGGGTGATAAATTACATGACTACCTTAGTCATAGCATCTGTTGGAAGCCAAAAGCTTTTGGCAATGTTCTACTTCCAAGCCTCTCTGATTGCTTCAAGGCTGAATTAAAGAGGTGTTTTATAACCTATACTCACCCTGAACTGTGGTGCCAGAGACAGAATTTAACTTTTATTCGTGTCTCCTTTGATTGGCATGGTGATACAAAAAATGGAAATTTGAATGCCTTTATGAGGGTGCCTTCCTCCCCACTGCTCCAATACCATTGGGTCTCCCTGTCTGCAGACATCTTCCTGTATATGATCCTGATTTACAGGTTTCTTTCAGTTTCCTCTATGACAAATTGTCTCTACCTATCTTCAGGGAAACTGAGGATGTGTTGGCTGACCTGGAAACCTTGTTAAAGCTCAGATTGGCTGAGACTCAGAGCCAGGCTAAAGACCTGATCATTCAGCTTCTAAAGTCTTACATCTATCTATCTATCTGTCTGTCTATCTATCTATCTATCTATCTATCTATCTATCTATCTATCTAAAGAGAGAGATTTATTTATTTTTTATTGGAAGGTCAAATTTACAGAGGGAAGAAGAGAGAAAGCGAAAGATCTTTCATCCAATGGTTCACTCCTCAATTGGCCACAATGTCTGGAGCTGAGCTGATCTGAAGCTAGGAACCAGGTACCTCTTCTGGGTCTTTCATGTGGGGCTGTCCTCTACTGTTTTCCCAGGCCACAAGCAGGGAGTTGGAAAGGAAGTGGAGCGGCCAAGATCAGAACTGGCAACCATACGGTATCCCAGCAATGCAAGGCAAGGACTTTAACTATTAAACTACCACACCAGGCCCTCTTATATTTTGGTTTTTCATTTGAAAGAGACAGAGAGAGAGAGAGAAAGAGAGAGAGAGAGAGAGAGAGAAAGAGATGGACCAGGCTAGATGCAGGCAGCAAGAATTCAGAAAGGTTTCCCACATGGGTGACAAGACCCAAACTACTTCAGCATTACCTCCTGCCGTCCAGGTGTGCACATGAACAGGCAAGTGGATTGAAAGTGGAAGGTCTGGGACTCCAGGCAGGGTGTCCCATATAGGTGCAGGCATCACCAGAAGTGACTTCACCACTGTTCCATAGACCCAATGCTGCAGCCAGTTTACAAATGGTTTGATTTGGTTAGAAGAGCAGAGAGGACTGTGTCTGGAATGTTGACTTCACAGACTGCTGGTGCCAGAGACCAAGGTCAGAACTTGCGTGTAGTTGGACAGCAACAATTGGACAACACTCCAAAACCACAGAACAGTGTGCTTAAGAATATCCTTAAGAGTGGGGAAGATCTCAGGTGAGTTTATGTTGGAGGTGCAGGTGCTCGACCCTCCCTGTTGTTTGGTTGTACCTGGGAAAATCTGGACTGTGCCAGGCTCAAATCTTGGGATCTTAGCTCTGGCCACCACTACCAGATGGTGGCAAATACTGAGCTTGTCTAGGCCTGAGGCCTCAGAAATGTTTCTGTGCATAGTAATCACACTGTGTGGGGGTCTCCGGAGGCCCTGCGCAGGCATAGATCCCTGGCTTTGCCCACTTCGACCCTCTTGGTGGGTCAATCTCAGGTGAGTCTGAGCTAGAGGCACAGCTGCTTGATCCTCCTAGCCACCTGAAATCGCCCATAGAGAGTCAGAAAAGGGAACAAGTTCTGTGAGGCTGGGTCTAAAAATATGTGAGTGAATTAGGTCTAGGGGTGAAATCTGTGGGGATATATGTGAACTCACCCATGTGGTATAGCAGTCTCCATTGGTGTGCACAATAACTGTGGCTGGGAATAGGCCTGGCTGGGGAGCTAAGGGGACACCCATGCTGGACTGGAATTCCCATTTTTGAATGCGAGAGCTAGAATCACTGCATTCTTTTGGACTGAACATGGCTGCAATTTCCCTTGGCACAATATGGCCTGGGTCTGGGGTGGGCCAAACTAGGCTAGACTCCATCCCTTTCTAGTACTCATGAGAGTCAGAGTGGGTGTAGTACAGGCTAGGCTAGATCTTGGCTCCAGTTGAATCATATGAGAGCTGTGTCTGGGCACAGACCAGGTGTGGCTGGGCTGCAATATCCAACAGTAAGAGCCAGAAAGGGTATGAGTTGATTGGGCAAGGACACTGTTCCTGCCAGGACAAGAGGTGGACAAAATCAATCTGGACCAAGGACCAACAAGTATGTGCAAGATCTGTCACAGGGAGGAGCCCAGACAGAGGAGCTTGGTGAACTCCTGAACTTTGTCAGGTTGCAGTCCCTGCAGGTAAATGTCAGAACCAAGGCAAGGAGCAGCCCAAACCAGATCAGGTTATAGTACCTGCCAGCATATATGTGGGTCAGGGTCAGGGTCAGGTCAGAGTGTGGGCCAGGCCAGGCCAGTTCATAATATCCACTGGTAGATCCAAGAACCCAGAGGGAGTACAAGAGGGACCAAGTTGGGCTGCATCACCAGCCAGTTCACACTGGAGCCAGGATGGGGAGCTGACTGGCAAGGTTAGGCTGCCGCACCAACCAGCACAACCTGGAACTTGGAACAGGTTTGGATCAAACTAGACTGAAGCACCCACTCATGGCTGCTGAGGAAAGGTGAGCCATGTCAGTCTAGGGGTGGTTAGTGTCAGATTTGTGAGCTTCAGGTATAGAGGGATCCTTGTGCCCACCTGCAAGGTGTGCTGGATTCATGAGTCCCAGAGGTTGGAGGTCCAGCATGTCCTGGATAACATGGTCCAGGTCCTAGAGCTCATTTATGTGGTGGATGTAGGGTTCATGAGCCCCAAGGGTGAAGGTTTAGTGGGGCCTGGGTCCCCTGGCCTATTTCACATGGCCCACCTGTTGATGGGTACCAGATCTGTTAGCCTCAGGGCTGAGGGGTCTGGAGGGCCCTGGGTATACTTGCCAAGGCTCTAGGGTTCACCTTCATGGTAGGTGTCAGGTCCATGAACCCCCGGGGTGGAAGGTCTGGTTTGCTCCAGGTTCCCTGGCCCAAACTCATAAGCCTACCAATGAGGACTGGTCCTTATCATTGCAAAGAATGGAGTGCTGGATGGCAGGCCATGGTGCACAGAGAGGACGTGGTAGCTCATTGAGGCCTGCAGAGGACATCTGGTACAATTGCAGAGAATAGAGAACAGAACGTATAAAAAACTACTCCAGATGAAGAATGACAACAAGTATCTCAGCAAATGCAGACTCTAAGGTCGACTATGTCAGCCAATATACATTGGAAAGGATTCCTCATCTATAGATCAATGAGATCAACAGCATTTTAGAACTATCACATCCACCCTGGCAGAACCTTTGGAGCATGCACCACATTATGACCCTGGGTTGATATCTGGTGGCCTTTCCCCATATTCGGATGCTGGGATGATTGGGAGGCTGTATATGACCTAATCTCCTATCTCCTCCTCTGCACCCCTAGAAATGGGAAGAAGAAATAGAAAGCTTGGAAACAATGATCACACCCTCTCCTCCCTAGCCCTAAATCCTTCATCTAAAGTAATAACAATAACAATAATAATAACAATAATAGTGAGAATATCCTTACGATAGCTATGTGCTGATATCCAATGACCTGGAAAAAGTGCCAAAAGATAGCTTTAGTGTTTGGGGGATTGCTACTCTTGTGACAAATCCAGAGGAAGCTCTTAGCTCCTGCCTTCGTCCTTGCCTAATCTGGCCT